TTGTTCACAATTGCATTTTGCAGAAGCTCAGCCTCAGCTTGTTCTTAATTTGTTCTTAACTTTTGACCAGTTTTGAGGCTCGTGTTCTTATAAAATTGTTCTTATAAAAAAAAGAGTGTATAAAACTTCAGTAGAAATAGGCAAGTATTATCTAAAAGAGGGGTTTCCGGCGTTTTAGAGGGCGCGGCCTCAAAAAATTTCCGGTCACGCCTTTTCAGCCCTCCCGCATTTGGACTGGTGCGCGGTCCCTGGATGGGGTTACTGATGGTTCTCGTTGTTCGTTGCTTTCTCGAGTTTCGGGTGCAGGTGCAGTTTGTGATGGTTGAGATTCCGGTACAGGTGCAGGTTGTGCAGATTGTTGTGTTTTAGATGTGGGAGAGGTTGATCTTGCTTTGGTGTTTACTGTGCGGAATGTTGGTGGTTAAGGAAAATCAGGTTCTAGAATTGCTTAAATTCTCATGAATTCTCGTTGTCTTTCCCATCACTGAGGGGTGGTTCCGCTGCCGACTTTTTACTAGGGAAAGCTTCAGTCTTATCACCAGTTTTCAGTTTCCTCGTCATCGTAGTATTGGCTCAAGGCTCGTTTAGTTGGACGTCCAAAAAATGAAAAAAATTGTCAAATAATTTACGAAAAAATTAGAAGAATTAATGATTAAAAAAGTGAAATAAACAGTAGAAAATAGATAAAGAATATATTTAGTACTTACGGTCGTAGAAGTCTCTTAGAAATTAGCTTAATCAATAGTTGATTGTCGTCTTCGTCAATGAAAGCGTTATCAATCATTTGTCCACAACACTGACGGTGGTAGTGGTTTTTGTCAATGTGATTTTGTTAATCATTGCTTCAGCCATTATCTTGTAAAAAATGTATCTTTATGAGCGATAACTTTTCGATAGCGAGTAGTTTGATGATTGACGAACTTTTGGAAATTGAGCTTATTTTTTGGGAAAAGTCTAGATAATAATAAAATATATGTAATAAAATATTGGTTACCCGCTAATCGTATTGGTTAAAGGTTAGTCTCTGTTGACCAAAGGTTAGCGTCTATTGTTAAAGAATGTTTGATTAATGACTAAGTGATGAAAATAATCGAATTTGATATTTTGAATTATTGCCATTTGAATGGAAACTACCATTTAAGTAAAACAGCTTCCATTTTTCACTTTGAATTAGACTTTGTAATTTTTTTTATCAAAACTACAAGTTAATTCAAGCAACTATTTTTTATTAGTAGCTTGTACATTTTCCTATTGGTAGCTACCATTTACACTTCTACACTTTCATTTGCACTTCTAGACTTTGATCTTGAACTTTGATATTATAAATTTGAATACAATAAAGACATTTTCTCTGCAATAGTATAAAAGGCGACGATTAAGTCCGTTTGCTCAAAAATTTAGGAGTTGGATTGTCGCTGACAAAGACGAAAGACGTGCGAAAGATAAAGACGAAAGACGTAAGAAAGATAAAGACGAAAGACATGCGAAAGATAAAGACGAAAGACTTGTGAAAGATAGAGGCGAAAGACTTGCGAAAGATAAAGACGAAAGACTTGTGAAAGATAAAGACGAAAGACGTGCGAAAGATAAAGACGAAAGACGTGCGAAAGATAAAGACGAAAGACGTGCGAAAGATAGAGGCGAAAGACTTGCGAAAGATAGAGGCGAAGGGCTTGCGAAAGATAAAGACGAAAGACTTGCGAAAGATAAAGACGAAAGACTTGCGAAAGATAAAGACGAAAGACGTGCGAAAGATAAAGACGAAAGACTTGCGAAAGATAAAGACGAAAGACGTGCGAAAGATAAAGACGAAAGACGTGCGAAAGATAGAGCGAAGGGCTTGCGAAAGATAAAGACGAAAGACTTGCGAAAGATAGAGGCGAAGGGCTTGCGAAAGATAAAGACGAAAGACTTGCGAAAGATAGAGGCGAAGGGCTTGCGAAAGATAAAGACTCATCTCAAAGGTACACGGATATGGTTTTTTGCACATTGTGTTCTTTAGAATTTTCTAATAAAGATACATTTTCGGATCATGTAAAGGAAAATCACTTTCCTTGCGATGAATGTTCTAGTGTTCTTAAAACTCAAAATATGTTTAGAAAACACAAAAGGGTGTATCATAAAGAGGAAAGAAACTTTCAATGTAAATACTGTGATAAACCATATGTTACAGTTCATTCTCTAGCCTTGCATAGATCGGTATATCAAAATAACAGCGAAGAACACGTTTGCGATTCTTGTGGAAAAGTTTTTTATAAAATTTCTCACTTAAGGAAACATAAGACAAAGGTTCACAGGAATCCGCTTAAATGTGGTATGTGTGATAAAGAATATAAATCAAAATACAAACTTCGAAGCCACGTGGCTAAGGATCATTCTGAAAACGCTTCTAATCTTTGTGGCTATCGACTTTTAAACAAAAAAGACCTTTTTCTCCATCAGGAGAATCATTGCAGACAATCTTTTCGATGTAAACATTGCGATTCTGAATTTAATTCATTAGTATTGGGTAATAAATATCTGCTAAAAGAGCATGAACGTTTGGGATTTCAAATCGAAGCTATACCTACTCAATGCTCTGTTCGCATTGAAATATTTGTACGAACCGTAGATTCAAGATATTAATCTAATTTGCGAAGAACATTTCTTTATTAACGCTGTGAATAAAGAACTTCGATTGATTGATTTGTGTGATGAAGATGATGATGATTTAATTGGTAGAGGAAAAAGAAAAAAAATCAACCATCGTGAAATCGACGAAGATGAACAATAGGAAATATAAACAAATGCTGTAAAAAAGTTATAGTCGAGTGGCAAAATCTCGTTAAGCAAGCTTATTTGGATAATGCATCAGAAATTATGTTGCATTCTATGAAAGGAAAGAAGGGTGATATTTTATAGTACATAGAAAAAGTCTCTCAATTACATTTATAACGCTGCTGTACATTAAATGCCGTATAAAATCGGCATTGCTTTTGGATTTTTGTTATTGGATACGGAAAAGACTACTGTAAAACATTGGTATGTTGATGAACATTTATCAACATGTACCGAATTACATCATGAAGTATATTACATCAAGTACCGAATTTGTATACAAACAAAAACAAAAACGATGCAAATGATGTTATAGAGCAGTTATACAAACAAAATTATTCCGATCTTGTGCGAAGAACTTTTTCATCTTATCGTGTACACATATTAAGAATTACTAATATGAAAGTTACCATTTTTAAAATAAACGATGACAAAATGGATGATATTGGTGGTAAAAGTGATGAGGAAAGTTCTGATGACAGTGATGAGAAAAGTGATGGTGAATTTGAAGATAGTTTTAGTCCAGAAAGTGGGTTTATTTTATCTGAAGCAAAAGACGAACAGATGGATGAATCTGGAAGTAGTACAGAGGATGAAGATTTGGATGATGTTATCAAAAATGTTGATTTAAAAAATAAATCAATTTTTAAAGAAAAATGGACTGAACAAGAATTGACCAAGATACGTAATTTTTTAAAGGCTGCTTTACGAATGAATATAATTTTTAAAGGATTGAAAAAAGAATTTATCTGGTGAAGAGATTATAAATGAAAATAAATGTTTTTTCGAATGATTGCTCTGTCTTCATTGCTACTTGATAAAAAATCACACTTAAAGATTTGGTTAGGAGAAAGATTGATAAAGAACAAACATAAACTTTAATTGAGAATAAAACTGCAGAACTATTTACAATGTTTGCTGATATTTACAAATTCTTACTTTTCAGGGCGTTTCGGTAAAGATTATGCCATCAATGGAATTTTTATTTGAATGTAAAATTATGGTTTTTATCCCGAAAGTGACAAAAGAAGGAAAAGTTAAGTTGACTTTGTTAGCAAAATCATCAAGTCGGCTTGTTTTTGAAAAGAAAATGAACGTAAATCTGATGTTATTTAACAATCACTACTATCTGGTTTTGAAAAAAAGAGTTTTAATGGATAAATTGAGTTGTCTGGTATGTGGGCAAAATTTTACTCTTATGAAAAATCTATTGAAACATGAAAGTAGAAACATTAAAAAAATTACACGCGGTAATACAGATGTGACGTTAATCAGTGTAACGGGTGTTGTGGATGTTCATGAACTGATTATAGAAACAGTGAAAGATATATTTCAAATACTCGACGACATACTTAACAAACTCGAAACAAACGATGATGGCATGATGGATCATACAAATAATCAAAATGATTTATATTTCAAAAAAAAATATAGCATGTTACGATTTTGAAAGTTTGTTGAAAAAGACAACTTTGAGTGAATTAAAAGAAAAAAGATTGTAAAATATAAGGAATGGCTTATTTTCTGAATCGGAAGAAAACGATAGAATGTGAACAGAAATGGAAGAAAATAATTTTTTGATAGAAAGAGAAGTAATGGAGGAGTTATACGATGAAGAATACACATTTGATGATGATGGATTAACAATACTTACATCGAAAGATTTTAAAGAAAAAAAACTTGAATTAACTGTTGAAGGAAAAGAATATGTATTCGAAAATATTCTGATATCATATGCTATTTGTAGTAATTTGGCAGATGAAAATATAGATTATCGTGCGGGTGATGAAAATAGTTATTCAACTATATTTCGCGTTTCAAAGGATCCTTCTGACTTAATAAACGACTTTGTAAATGATTTGTCAGAATTGACTAGATTAAATGAAGAAGTGGAATTTTCAAGGAATAAAGAAATAATTCTATATATAAAACTATTTCGCGGAGAGAATTATATGGATTCAATCTACTGCTGAAGAGTTGAACTATTTACAAATCAGTTGAACATGATGATGATTTTTTGAGTGCTATTGATGATAACAATGATGAAGAAGAAAGGACTTATTTGAAGGTTTTGTAAAAATAAGTTCAGACTTGGAAGATGTTGTTAATAACGATCGATTAATTACAATGAGTCAAGAACAAGAAATAATGGAAAAAATTGGAAAAGACGAGGATACTTCAATTGAATGTTATAGCCCACAAATCAGACTTTTCAAACGATTTTTGGAATATATTTGCACTTTGACAATTTTTGGATTTAATAGCAGTGGCCATGATAAAGAATCTGAATAAAGCTTTGATAAAGAAAGAATTGTTACATACTTTGCATGAAAAAGGATTGGATTTTACAAATATTGAGCAAAAAAACAGTCAAAAATCTGAGGAGAAAGATATATTTGTGATAAAAAAACAAAGTAAATATATTGAATTGATGATTAAAGTTGAAGCGGAAAGAGTTAAATTATTGGTTGTTATGCAATTTCTAGCACCTGGATTTAGTTTGAGAAATTTTATTCAATCGTTTGCTTCAGATTGTGAAATGGGAACGTTTTTTTTCCATAGGAATACATTTCAAGTTTTGACGTCTTGCAGGAAACAGATATTCCTCCTTACGAAACATTTTATAGTACATTGAAGCAAATAAATGTGCTGGAAGAGGAATATTTGAGCTATTTTGATAAGAACTACAAAGTCAAAAGAATGTTTTTAAAAGAAAAGCCAGAAAAGGTTCGAGAAATTGTTAAAGATTTACCATTATCAGGTAAGGAACAGTACGAAGTAGTGAAAGGAACGTGGACGGAATATGGTTTTCAAACCATAAGAGATCTGCAATTTTTTATCATCAATAAAAGACTTGAAGGTGATAGAGACAAATCTTCAGAAATAAAAGCGTACACTGCTAGATTAGTTGGAAATAGTGCTTTCGGTTCTTGTATTACGAATAAGGAAAAACAATTGAATGTTGAATTTTGCATGGAAAAAGCTGAAATGATGGAACAAACGACATTTACCAGTTCTTCGATGATAAATTTTGAAAAATACGAAATTGTCACAACAGAAGCTGTTGAAATTGAATTAAAGAAAAAACGTATTGTGTTAGATCAAATACGACAAATTGCTGCTGTTATTTTCGGGAGAGCTAAATTCCATATACTTCGATTTTATTACGATTTTATTAAAGTTGTTCTTAAACCTGAAAATTACGAACTTATGTTAACTGATACAGACAGTATATATTAGAGTCTCAAATATGAAAAATTTGAAGATAACATAGATCCTCAAAAGATAAAACATTATGAAGATGTAGTAACTCTAATAGACTATGCGTAGGAGCATTACTTCATGCGACCCATGTTTATAAAGAGTTTCAGATTACAGTTTACAGTATTACAGTTATGCGCGTAGGCTGTTTGAAGTTAATATGAAGTTATCGTTTTGTTCTGTTCAACCCATGCGTTGTTCTATCCCCTTCACATCTTAACAGAAGATCATAAAGATGAGTCTTTTATTAGTAAATCTGCACCATATGGAAAAAGACAACCAAATCGTTTTAAAGTTGAGTGCACCGGAAGTAACCTGATAGCTTTGTGTTGAAAATCGTATATAGTAGCGGAAAAGGAAAGTAATAAAATAAAGTTTTCATGTAAATGGTATTATTATTATTATTATTATTATTATTATTATTATTATTATTATTATTATTATCGAATATTTATACAGGATAATACTTCAGTAGTGATATGCATATAGACATATTTACACTGTTTCCCAGTAGTCCTGTTAAAATAAAACAAGAAACAAAATAAGATTAAAAAATTATTTTACAATCGGCATTTATAAAATATAATTTGAAAGCGAAAAATAAGTCCGTACAAGGGGAATGAAGTTGAGTTGTATATTAGAAAGTTAAAAGGTTGAGAGTTTAAGTTTACGTTTATTTTTGAAGGAAATAAAATTACTTTCTGCTCGAATTTCTTTTGGAAGTTTGTTGAATAATGAGGCACCTTGGTAGTAAAATGATGCTCTTGCTATTTCCAGATTAATCCTCGGGATGTTTTTCATTGTGCAATTGTTTCTGGTGTTTACATTGGAGTTTTTCATTGTAAAATAGCTATCAAAGATAGCGCCTACGTTATTAGAGTGTAGGCATTTGTGCACATATGTACATATTCGTTTTATTGTGATTATTTCATTTCTCTGAACTTGTTGGCCGATGATTTTTTCTGCGCGGCTTTCTATGCGTTCTATCTTTTGTTTTAAATACTGAGGTGTTGCACTGAGATTAACTGTTTTTGGATTTCGCCTGCATCTTCTCCAGAACAAAACAAGACTGTATCATCGGCATACATCAGCATTTTGCATTGTGATAGTGTTTTGATTGCACTGTTGAAATACAAGATAAACAGGAGCGGTCCGAGTATTGACCCTTAAGGAACGCCACAGAATATTGGTTCCGCAGATGATAGTCTACCTTGAAACGAGACCTGTTGTGATCTTGAGAACAGGTAATCGCACAACCATTCCTGAGCCATTCCTGAGATGCCATAATCAGGTAAAGTGTCGACCAGGATAAAATGGCTGATGGTATCAAAAGCTTTACTTAGGTATATGTAAACTGCACCTGTGTAATTGCCGTTGTCCATTGCCTTTCGGATTTGAGCAGTGAAGTAAGCTGTAGCAATTTTAGTTGATAGGTATTTGCAAAATTCAAATTGTTTTTCCGACAGCAATTTGTTGCTTTCTAGGTGGTTAGTAATTTGGGCGTGTACGCACTTTTCGAAGACTTTGAAAATCACTGGCAGAACACTTATTGGTATGTAATTGTCGAATACATTTCGGGCACCGGATTTGTGTATGGGGGCAACCCTCGCTTTCTTTAGGTCTGTTGGAAAAGTCCCCGATTGAAGCGATAGGTTGATAACATGTGTCAGTGGTTTTGCTAAGACATATGCAATGTCTTTCAGGTAGCACGACGGCAGGTTATCCAATCCCGTACAAAAGTACAAAAGATTGAGATGATTAGAGAAGGAAAACGAAGGAATCCGGAGAATGTACATGGAGGTGTTCTAGTTGTTTATAAATCGACATTAGATGATCCTAAAGGAGATATATATTGCACTAATAGAGGGATTAGAAGTACGAATACTGTTTTAACTATTTGTGAACAGCGAAAAAAGATGACTACTTCATTTTATTGCAAAAGACGGATTTTGGATGATGGAATTCACAGTGTTCCTTTGGATATATAATGGAGACTTCAACAAATGTCACAGTGTTACTTTGGATATATAATGAAGACTTTAAAAATCACAGATTGGAATTTTTAAGAAAACGCAAAAATATAACTCTCAGTATTCAATTTAACGTTCTAACTGGTTGTGTTTTGTTGAAAGAACGTGACTTTAACGTGGAATTGCAGTTGGAGGAAACACATTTTAAAGAACGAGAATTGTCGATTTCGATAGCAAAAAAGATCTTTAAAGAAAGTAAAATAGCTGAAAAATCGCGGCTTGTTATTCAAAAGACAAATGAAAAATATTTATACGGGGGATTGCAGTGTGTCAGCAAATAGATTAAAAGATCAAAATCGAGTGCTTGAATCCGAATGCTTTCAAAAGTTTACTGAACTATCTAGATCAAGAAGGTGATATAATGTCACAATATTTGCCATTATCGATATCAAGCAATAATCAAGCTTAGATTTTAAAAGAATTACCAGGAGGTCCGAATGAAGCACTACAAGCTTACATGCATAAACTTTCAGACGAACAATTTGGTAATGGGAAAAAAATTTCTGAAGATGAAATGCCACGATTGAAAAATTATAACCTTTTAACAAAAAAGATAAAAAGTAAACCGACGGAAAAAGTTATACCTGACGTGAATCTAGCAAAGAAACTCATAACGAAGACTTTGATGATAACGACTGCGATTACGATAGTGACAGTCCACTACAAGAAGTGATGAAAACACCGAAAAATCTCCTTATCCTGAAACAAAATTGAAAGCGCCGAAAAAATTCCGAAAAGAAAACATGCAATAATAAGTGATGAAGAAGACGGAGATGAAGAGTATGAGCCGAAACCTAAGTCAAGAAAAACCCTTTTGAAACAAATTTAATAAAAACTTGCTTTTCCAAAAAAGTGATATTGATGACTAAGCATTAAACTACTTTAGTATATAATTGGTTAGTTTATATATTTAATAAAACAGTTATATACATTTTATTTTTATTTAACTATATAAACGTAGTTTTTTTAACCTTTAGTAATTCTGAAATGGATGAATATAAACGCATTACCAATCGCGCTTTACTTGAATATCAATTGTTTAAAATAAAACAAAACATACAAAGAAAACGAAAAAGAAAGGTAATAAATAAGGATGAAATTCATAATGTCAAAAAAGTAAACCAAACCAATACTAATTACTCTTATTATGAAAATTTTTAGATGAAACAACATTTAGAAACTTAGAGACAGACGACGAAGACGAAACCCCACAAACCAACACCATTGTTGAAATTGCTACAGAAGAAAAATTTAACTCAATTTTAAAGACGAAGACTATTAAAGAATTATTTCATTCCATTAAAATAGACGCCTACAACTTTAATGGCAAAGAATATTTTGTTTAAAAGATGGTGAACATTGTTTTGTAATGAAAAAAGAATTTTCATTAAAAAAGCAAATTTCTTATACTTCTTAAAGGATATCCCCCAGTTCTGTGGGAAAACCTAAGACTTGAAAAAATGGAGGCTGAAAAATGTAGGCTGAAAAATGGCGGCTGCAAAAACGGCTGAAAATTCTAGCAATGACGATGAAGAATTTGATTATGATGATTGTGAATATTCTAAGCATAATTATTACCATCAATCTCACATGTATATGGATACTTTAGAAGAAGGCTATAACGATGATGAAGATTGAGATCCTGAAGATTTAGTATTAGGTGAAGACATAGACGAGTATCTTGATTACCACAAAAAATATCTTAAACCGATGATTGATTTTTCTTTCTGGTATTTGGTATCTCTCTTTTTTCGATGAGAAAAAGAAGCTTACCTTTTTAACCCTCTTTTTGGTTCATGTACATATGCTTAAACTATTGGATTATGTTGACTATTTTTTACAGCATTAGATTATGTCGATAATTTGTATTACAATAAAATTATTGATGATTATTATATTACGAAATTAACGTTTATAATCGAAAATTTTTTTGTATATATCTTAATTGTAGAATTGTGTTATGTAATCCATTAGATTTTTTAGCTTTTCTTTTTTAATAGACGCGAGACATCTTTGTTTTTTCTCATATCAAGAATATAATCGAAAAAAAGATACTATTTTTTCTTCTTCAAACCTGCATAGTACTCATACAGAATTTCAAATAACATCATTTTAACTATATATCAATATGAGTTTTTACTTCATATTTAAAAAACTTGACATGATTTTCATTTGAATAACTGTGTAAATGAATATTCAAAACTTTCTCGAACAAAGTATCACCAACAGCTTCTCGAACCCAAGATATTTCAGGACGCTCACAACAATTATTCTTTTTGAAAAACTTGACATCATCTGAATAAACTGAAATTACTTTATTGCCAAGACAAAAACTGGACATTTGAAACTCTATGTGCAAAAATCGATCGTAAGCCAGCATTTTTCTCGTAGCAGTAGCCAACTTATTTGCTTCTTCCGAATTAGAAACTTCAACATCAAATCTTTTTATAGATATTGCTTCATCAAAACAAAAATGTAAAACAAAAACAAAAAACAGCAAAACTGTGTAAATATTGAAGAAATACATCAATGTTTTCGTTAGGAATGATAAAAAATATACAGTGATTATTCTAAAATAGAACTAAAATAAGAAATAGGTATAACTATTTATACATTTTAGAAAACTTTGTCGTGAAACAATTTTTTAAAAACAGTCAAGTAAGTTTATATGTTGAAATTTTGATGTTACTAATTCGAAAATTGTACAAATTTGTTCAAGAATATAAAAGATTTACATCCAGTTCAGGGCATGGTGGGTATCATACTATTCATTGGTGTCATACGCTTCATGTTCATTGAACTTGATGTTTTTTCTTAATTCACAAAAAAAGGCGACAAAAGGTAATTAACGAGCATTAAGAAAAATAATTTTAAATAGTCAATTAATTTTATATCTTAAAATTTTTCGCTTAGCCCTTGCGGAGCAATCTCAACCTCCGTGCGGCGCTGTGCAGGAGCTTTAGGTTTAACCTACCACAGGCGGCTCGCTGCTATACACTACTTCTGATCTCTTGAAGAGAAATGGCCGTGGTAAAATCTTCAGAAAATAGTGAGATCAGCAGCACAGTGCCGATTGGAGAGAGGCGCAGAAGACTTAGTTAGGTTGCAGTTATTAACTAGGTGAATCAGTGGCGTCGCTTGACCTTTCAGACTAGGGGGCTGGAGGGTCATCAATATAAAACTTTACTGACAAAGACATAGATGGAGATAAAGTTAGGTACTCTTTCACCTATTGACAGATGATTTTACCGACAAACTAGGGATTTTGTAGACAAACTGAAGATTTACCGACAAATTCATGAAGTATTGGGGGGGGGGGGAGTTACACCCCCCGCTAGTTACGCCCCTGAGACGAGTGGCTTTGGATTGAATCTTGTCAAGGAGGTGCAAGGAAGATTTAGGAGCACAACACAAAATATAAGAGCAGTACTCCAGGAAAGGGCGGACTTAGAACTTATAAATTCTTAAAAGTTGGTATCACGAGAAGAATCAACGTTCTCTAGAGAGAAACCCAAGTTTTTTAGAGGAATGTTTAGCAATAGAGGAAATGTGAGATTTCCAGGTTAGTTTAGAAGGTACAGAAAGACCGGGTTGTAAGAAACAAGGAGAAATGTCTAAATCAGAACCATTCATGGAGACGGGAGACAAGTTGGGGTTGTGTTTGCGTGAAATGACAACCTGTATGGTTTTAGTTTGATTAAACTTTACAAGATTGTCTTTGTCCCACTTCTCGATTTTTGCAAGTTCATGTGAGGCTGAATATTCCTTTGCAGGGGGTGTTGATAGCAGAATTATGCGGAGAATTAAAGGCAAATGAAGGGCAAATACGATTGTAACCAACTGGGAGCATATCAAAAAGGCTCATTGCCAGGTCGTGGTAGGTATCAAAGGAACTAGGCATTGTACGTACCAAAGCCATGAGGTCCACAAGATATGTTGAAATGGCTCTTTTAGAGAAATCAACATCTTCGGGATCAGTAGAATCGCTGCAAGAAGAAAAGATAACTACCATGTATTGACTCTTTGCTGTTGTCCTTCGGGAACCAACTGGAAATGCTAGGCACAACGGTAAAGAATGCAGGGGAAATTTCAATGCCACCTGAAAATCGATTGCTTTGTTACTCTTTGCCGAGAGGGATAGGAGTTTTCCTAGAAAACACTCCTTATTGGCTTTAATCATTTGGTGCTTGTTTTGAACTTTGAGCACATTTTTCTTTCTGGTATTTTTGAAAAGTGCTAAGTTTTGCCGCTTTATTGCATCATGGATCTTTGTTTCTGTTGATTATATGCGTTCATTTACAAATTCCTCATATAACTTTTCCCCTCTCTTCCATATCGTGAGAATGGATTCTGTTATTTCTCTTTCAAGAGGCATTCCAGCCAAAGCTTAGGTTATAAAGCTGATTGGCATCAATGCCTGGGTCGAATGGGTTTAGATATTCTTGGGTTATAACGTTGTGAATCTTTACGAAGGATTCTCCAGACTTGATGATTTCAAATGGACGATCAGTTCTCTTGATTTCTGCTAAATCATAAGGAGCCTCTGTATTTCTTGCTTGCGCAGCACGATTTAAGGTCCATTTGAGTATGGAGTTTGAATCAGATGCAAAGTACTTGATACCACCGGCTACTTTTGCGTCTCGATTTATTGTCTGCTTCCCTCGTTTAGACTGGTTCCAATTCCAAGAAATTATAAAACAAGGCGCATTTTTTAGTAGAAGCTGGGATCCAGTTGATTTTGGGTATTTCGACCATGCTGATTACGAATTTCGAGGATCCCAAGCGAAATTAGCTCATTTAAGGGCTTAATTTGCATATCAAAATGGCTGCCAGTCGAAATCTTCAAAATGCTGCCAAGAAAATCCATGACACTGCATTCGAATAGGATATTCACTAATATTGCTGTTATGAGGATAGAACTTGGTAAAATGGTGTACAGCAACAAAATCTACACAACAGGGAACTTTTTAAATTTTTCATTACATCCATGACGTCATTATGATGTCATAATTGAAGAAAATGGCAGAATTTGCCAACTATTGGTAATATCTCAGCTTTAATTATTAAGTCCTTTTATAGTCTCTAGAATGTATCAAAATGCACCAAAAAGTAAAAACAGAGATATGATTTCCATCTAAGCTTATTATCTATATCGCTTATTCATGATTTATTTACACCAATTTGTCATTGTTTCATTTAAACCCCTAATTACTGGTGCAAATACTCTAAAATGTCTTGAATTTACTTTTAAAAATAAAGAGAGCCAATTTCGGCTAGTAAAGTTGATCTATTACATTTTCTGTGATTTACATGACGTCATAAATATGATGACGTCATTAACTTAAAAATTATTCACGCCATCAAAAATTGAAAAGGTCATGCAACATTTCAAAGGTCTCTTCGAAATCAGTCGAATGATGGCATTCTCGATGATCTATGATCCTCCGGCAAAAATTAAACTCATTGATTTGGTTTTCTAGCTGGTTAGTGTCTACCATTTAAAATAAAATCTTCCAGTTTTATTTAGCCCATTTAATTTTAGGAGAAATGGCAAACTTTCGGCTCTTCATTTTTCGAACTAACGACAAGTTCATGTATGACATTTCTCAAATGAAATTTTCCCCCAAGTAGTAATCGGGTGAAATGTCAACATTGAATATTCAAGTGGCTGAACACGTTCCTTTTGTATATCCAGTTCTACTATGCTGCATTTTTGTGAAGGTCTCTAACGTGTGTCCAAGCTTGAATCTAATCGATTATAGGTCAGTTGCATTTGTTGTTTTCAGCTTTGCTGCATATGCCACACAACTTGCTACATTACAGGCCTTGCGCAAATTAACACTATCTTCTGACTAATAATTCTTGAGAGTTGTCAAGAAAAAAACAGTTGTAGTTTCACTCAAAACTTCTTTGCTAATTTTTAAATTCTTTCATACTTGTCAAGAATTCTTGAGGATTCTTCTCATGTTGATATGCGCAAGGCCTGCAGTGTGAAGCTTGACCCTACATTAGGATTTGAAGGAGTGCCTGATCTAAATCTTAAAGCAAACTAAGCTATATGAGTTCTGCATCGTGTGTTACATCCACAAAAGATCATCTCCAGAGAAGCAGTAGGGATGGCTTCACTGTCATCAGAATCGGCTTTAATTGATCTTCAGAAAGCTCCCATCCGAAATCTGTAGGTGACGGTAAGTCTTGATGCGGTGATCCAGCTTGTTTCCATATTATTGCTTGGAAGTGTGCTCTTCTTATGTGAAGATGTGCCACATCACTTGTTGGAGGCAATGCCTCGGGTTTTGTTTTCTTGAAAAATAGAACGTGTCGGGCTTCATTTGTGGCCTGCACCAAAACCGTGGCAAAAAGAATTTTCTGCTTTCCGCATAATACCCCGTTTGCTAATACCTCCTTCTCCCATGTTTTGCAAGAGTTCATGAGACTCTTTAAAAACTTTCCATGCAGATGCCATTTGTATTCCCAGACAAGTACGAAGTTGTATCACATCCAGTAAGAGTGTGAAAGGGGATGAGTGCTTGAACAGATCCCTCATGCAAGGCGTGAAGAATCTCTTTGACTGGAATATATTTTCTCTTCTTTGACGTTCCAGACATCATCCAAAGATCATTGCATCGCATTCGTTAAAAGTGGGACACCAGAATGATGAGCACATCTGCATCTCTAGCAGCAACTACTACTGTATTGCAGGTGACATTGATAGCACGAAGGGCAAGTCTGGTGTCTGCTTCTTCATGGTCTGCACTCAAAGTCAAGGTATCAGTGTAGTATTTCGATGACTGGGAAAGCAATTCATTGATAAATCCACCAGCTGTAACAATTTCTTTATCTTCAGTTGCTTGGCGAAGCAACTCTTCTGACAGGAATCGTGCAAGATCTGCTTTGTTTTCTGGCAATGCAAAGAAGTTTGACCAGAACTTTGGAAGAGGTACCAAACCGCTCTCTTTAACTCGGCGAACAGGCCGGCTAGTTTTTTTCCGCCTTAGTCTGGTACTAGTTTTGATTGATAATTGTCTATAGCGGTCAAAAACAACGTCGATTCTCTGGTAGCGTTTACCCATTTGAAGCACTGCTAAATCTTTGGTAGCGTTTACCCATTTGAAACAAAGGTGTCTGCTAAATCACAAAACGAAGAGCAACCATTTGGTTTGCCTAATAACACCACTAGAGCCTGACCATCGATGATTAAGCACGCTGTTATTCCATGAAGATCGATATACTCTGGACGATTGATGCTATCCGTTAGCTTGTCAATAAGGACAGACTTGCTTCCAGTCCGAAGAGAACAGTTCATTTCAGTGAGAGATGAGGAACTGGCATCAATTCATGAGAAAGCACACTCTTAAGATCAACTTCACGACTGCCTTCATAAGCAGTGATCAGCCGCATGAGAATATTTCGATCGGCCTTGAAAATCGTCTGCTTCTCCTTGTATTTTAAATTTATTGGAACTTCATATAGGCTTTGAAAGGTAAGCGCTCTGCATCTTTTTAATGGTTCGTTGAAGGATATCATGGGCTGTGTCAGACAGTGTCAGTCTGTGCGTGACAAAGCTTAGAATTTGTTGCTGACCAAGATTGGCTGCATGCAACAAAGATTCTTGAATTTCTTTACTTTTTCTTTATTTGCTATATTCTACCATTTGCCAGAACTTTATGCGGTTCGGAGGGTCCCTTGGTTATACCTTGAAGTTTTTTGACCGGCAGCCATTTTGAATATGCAAATTAAGCCTTTAAATTAGCGAATTTCGCTTGGGATCCGCCAAATTCGTAATCAGCATCGTCGAAATACCCAAAATAAACTGGATCCCAGCTTCTACCCGAAAATGCCTCTTGATCTCTTTTTAAGAACTATTTTAGAGAAATGGAACCAGTCTAGTTGGTCAATTGCAGTTCTGCAAGGGTACTTACTCTGTCCTTGAACTGAAATTCCTTCGTGCTTGATCAGTTCGAGACAGCATTAAATGCATTAGATCAAATTACAACATAACAATCTTTTATTTTATCACCGTCGGTCTGTCCTGCTGCTGTGTATCCTAAATAGCCTTATATATTGAACATGCAATATTGAGTAACTAGTGTTTCACAATAAAATGGTAGCTATGAAAAATGATGTCTTCCCCCGTCTTCACAATCTTAACCCCCCCCCCCCCTCCGATTCCTATAACTTGCTGCTACCTGGTAGAATACACAAAGGGATCAAATCAATGTTTTAAATGGCATAAAATGAAGTTTACGCCGAGACCGACTTTTAAAAGATGTGTTTTTGCGAAGTAATTGATTACCATACCCCGGTTCGAAAAATGTCCATATGTGGTAAACGAAGCGAGTACTGTAAGTTTACCAAAGATTTTCTCATTCAGCACAAGATTCTACATCGGAAAAACATTACCTAATAAACCAGTTTACCCCTATCTCATTTTCCGTCTAGTCTATCACTTTTGTTGGAGAATCTGCTAAATGTTTTGATCGGAAATTTTTCGAGCCGCAATGGGCCTAATCGCAGCGCCCACTTCGTGATATGTTGCAGCAAAATTCATTCAATTAAATGTATCACAAATCGTAAAGTCCATGCTTTCCAACCGATTGTGATTTTGTAAAGGGCGTAAAACAGCATTTTGTCCTCTCATTAAGTGAAAATACCAACATTCCCGCGAAAAATAGGTTCACGGAAGTGCCTCAACAACTGTAAAAGAGTGGACATAATAAAATGGCTTAAAATATGCCACTTTCTACCAAATACAAGGTCATTTATGATCAACTTGGTACTTCAACACCTAAATTAATCTTGCAAATGTTTTCTGAACTTATCATGTCGCGATTAACAGAACCTGTTACTAAACTCTTCGATAAAGTTTTAGCAAGTCTCATAAAAGGTTCAAAGCTGGTCCGACTGTCCAATAAAAAGTTGATATTACTGTATTGGAATAAAGTATTTTCCAGTTTTGTACTTCAGTATATTATCATTAACTTATTATTGCTTAAAAAGGATTTGAGGGTGAGTTTCATTCCAATATTATTATTGGATAATCTTTCAAGCTTCATCAGGTTTTCAAATATTTTGTACAATATCTCAAAAATGTTTTTTGATACGTTATTTGGTGAGTCTGCGTTAGTGGGGAAAATCTACCTGCGTCTCCTGCTGTCTGATGAAAAGACTTAATTTGGTCTCGAGCCTCTTTCCGATTCTGAGGCTGGTCTGCAATGGCGGTAAACCTTAGATTTTCCGAAAGGCTTCTAAAGACGAAATGATGTCGCGCTCTGTGTTTTCAAAAAGTATACTTTTTACGTGATTTGCAAAATTCGAAAAAATCGACAATCGAAGATGGCAGAGATACAAGCTGTTCCACTAGGTGAATCATCATCAGTCATTTTAATTATAGTCTTATTATCTGGTGATAGAAAACGATATCATTGTGTTCGCGTCATTCTCAATCAGACTTGTATTTATTTTTGTAGTGGAGAATCAATTATAAGTCTTTTTTGCAACAAAATTTCATGATTCTCTCATACAGTGAACATGACGAGAAAGTTTCTTGTTTTATTTCATTATATATGTCGTACTCATAATCAGCTAGGTAATTTTGAGTGGAAATGGTTATAGGTGTCTCAAAATTATCAAGCGGCAGTTCGTAAAGCCAAACCAACTTCTTCATGTTGCTAATTGTTTTGCCGTGTAGTCTGCTCTGATTTTAATCCTTGTTTTACTACGTTGTCATTACTACACTTATGTTAATCCTCTGGCTGAACCCAAAGATCGTAAATTTAATGTTTATTAAAGGCACTGCCAATTGCAGCCAAGTGGCCAACACACACTGCCTATGATGCATGCATGCTCAGTGGCAGAAATTATAGAGGCCATGGGAGGAGGGCTCAAGCCCACTATTTTTGATGATATCTTTTGGCAAGTTAAATTTTTGTCAATTATCTGATGGAGGCCCGAATTTTCTTACAAGAACACTGATTGCACCCCCCCTCCCCTGATACCCTCCATAATTTCTGCCACTGAGCATGCATCATGAGCAGTGTGTGTTGGCCACTTGGCTGCAATTGGCAGTGCTGGTCACCACATTAACTTGACACTCTATGGGTTCAGCCAGAGGCATTCCCAGCATAAAGTATGAAAATATATTTATTATTATTTCTAGACCTTTATGCCTGAACTGTCAAAAATTTGCTCCTCATTTAACAGACATTTAATAGCCATTCCTGCAAGGGCACAAAGCAGCCTTTATTATGAATAAAAACTTTGTTAAGAAAATTTAAAAATTTTCATAATTTGCAAAAGAACATGTAGACACAGTCTATTTTAACATTGTACTTAAATAGGATACCCCCTTAGTTCCTTACACAATGCTGCTATTTAATATTTAAGGGGTTAGAATGCTCAGCTGGCTCAAGCTTGCCACTTAATGGTCTACATCATGCTAACATTATCTTAAGATTTGTTAAACTTTTAATGATTTATTTTATATTAGCCATATTATAAAATAATCAACTTCTTTGGTTTGAGTTTGAGTTTATTTCTCTTTTAGGTGCTGGTCAAGGTGTGTTCTCTCAATTTTTGAACCTTAACCATCTATTTTTCTCTTTGCGAGATGTTTTGGCATAGTTAATTTAACATTGAACATTATCATATGGTTAAGACTTTTTTCTGTTTTCATGGTTTTTCAAAATTGTATAGGTATTAACTGTGTATTAATACATATTGCATATGTTTCTCCTTGCAAAACCCCATTAAGCCCCTACTTTTCAGCCAACTCTTACTAAATGAGATCAAAGAACGAACATAATCACTTGAACATACAAACACATCAATGATTTTTCATTCATGCAGGATGAGTAATTGTCAATTAATTCAACCATGACTGCAAATGAAAATCTAAATTTGCAGCAATTTCACAATAATTTCCTCCTAAAAATATTAGAATAGTTTTGGTTCTGGTTACTTGTCTTCACAATTTAATTTTTTTCAACAATAAGGCATAAAAAATTAATCAAAATACATAACACTACTACCAGAGGAAAATATTAGGTCAGTCAGGAATTTCACTCTACAGCAAAATCTGCTTCAATTGGCAGAAGGCATTCTTACATTCCAGTTATTGACATATTATCTTTTGCATCCTACTTTGATTAAATTCTTAAGCTGTTTTGCTTGTTATAATTTTGCAAAAGATGTCGGAAGGAGTTGCATACTTGTCACAATTGGAGGTAAAAACATTATGCTTGACTGTGGGATGCACATGGGATTCAATGACAGCGTGAGTAGCCCCATAAGTTCGTTTACCAGAAATTTACTGCTTACATGATATTCAGTAAGAAATTTTGCAATTCATATTTCTGCTACAAAACTTGGCAGTATATGTATAAATTAGTTTTCTTTGACTTACCCTTTATCTCTGAGTCATTCTTTTGCATGAATAATAGTTGCACTACAGAGTATTTGCTCAATAGACTATCATATGTATTTTTCATTTTCTCAAAGTACTATCAAGTATCTTTTTCTTTCTGAACTCTAGAGAAAGTTTCCGGATTTTACATACATTGCAAAAACTGGGCCTTACACACAGTTTATTGATGCTGTTATTATCAGGTAGGCCAAATAGTGGATTTGACCTACCTTTTCTCATCACTTTTGTTGCTATAATCTTTGTTGTTTATTTAAAGTATTAGGAAATTTTCCTTTCTTGCATTATATAATAGATTAAGGAAATAAGATGCTACAAAACGTTTTCATAAACTGTATGTATAAAAACTTATTATGAGTATAATGCTGTGAAGACCAGTTGCTAAAACCTGAACATTTTATCTTTAGTTTAGGCTTTAACATTATGTTGGCTATTTTCTAGATAGTGCTATTGTAAATAGAGTTGCTTTTCTATTTAAAGTGTAATACAGTAATGGAAAGCAAAAGTAAATGATTGATTTCCTTTAGGTAGTTTAGCTTTTAAAAGTGCTGAAAACATTGATAAAAAAGGAGGTGAATCCTTTTTAAACTAAAAACCTGATCTGTTTCAGTCACTTTCATCTGGACCATTGTGGTGCACTTCCTTACTTCAGTGAAATGTGTAAATATGATGGACCAATCTACATGACACACCCAACCAAGGCCATTTGTCCCATTCTGTTGGTAAGTTGTTTTGCTCTCTGTGGCTAGTGGCTTTTTCAATGGGTAAAACAAGTTGTTGTTCTTCATGTTCTTCAGGTAAAGGGGAACAAAATGAAGAATTTTTTCCAGGAACATCTTTTTTCTAACTTTCTCTTAAGAGCGCATAAGACAGGGTGAGAAACTCCAATGAGACACTTCTAGTTGTAGTAGAAGATTTAAAAAAAATTGCTTCATGATGCTGTTTAGAAGTTGTTATTTACCCAGATGTTATTTAGATGATAACTCCACCTGCTTTGCAAGGGCTTCAACCTTTTTTTTCTCAACTTTCTTCTTTTCACATTTTTGTACAGAGAAATATGATAGTTCTTCTTGCTTCCTAGCAAGTCTTTAATTTTTTTATTAAACATTTATTATTAACAATTTACTTTTATGTGCTTATGTTTATGTGAAAAATGAATATTTCCTTGTAGGAAGATTTTAGAAAGATAAGTGTTGAACGAAAAGGAGAAACAAACTTTTTCACCTCACAGGTAAGTTTAACTAAAGTTTGTTGTGAGATGTGGTTTAGGAGTTATTCTTCCACAGTAAAATCATTGCAAAGGCCAAGTTCAAGTTTGAAATTTTATAAAAACCCTAAAATGATAAAATCTTCTGATCCCCAACTGAGCTGATCACCAACCTTTGTGCCTAGCAGAGTGATGAATAGTTTTATTTAAAACCTCATTTTGATCTGTTATAGAATGCTTACAGATTTATGAACTTTTTATTGACTATAAAGACTAAATTGGGTAACAAAACACCTCAGAAGGGAAGAACTTCTTCCTTCAATGAACTCTTTCTTAAAGTTCATTTTGATAGAGGTCATCAGTATATGATTGAAAGACCAATCAAACTGCAGCAGCAGGCCTTGCCCGGAAAGGCGCTCGATCGAGCGCGCGCGCCTAGAGCGCACCCAAAAGAAGCCTTGGAGAGCGATTTATAGAGCCCCTCAAAACGTAAAAACAATATTACCACGGAACAAAATAATTTCTTGGCTTTTGTCTAATTAACTTGATCAAGCATAAACAATCTTCCCAATAGACCGCAATGTTATGATTTGCGTAAGATTACCCCTTGAGAAAAAAATTCAGCAAATTCAACGTTGGGTTTTCGATACCATTTTTAATCTAATAACCCTCTCATAACCACCAAGGACACAGGCCATCAAGAGTATTCTCCGTCAGATTTATTTGATTTCCGAGCAAGCGTTAATCTTCTGTTGAAGTATTATTTTCTGTTTTCTCTTAATAATTTCAAATCACCTTTGCAAATCAGAGATCACATTTCCGTCCAAATTACCGCATTGCTTTTCAGTTTTCATTTGTTTTCGCGAGTAGTAGATGTTCTAGTGTGTCTTATAGAATGAATAGCATAAAAAGGGAAACAAAGTTAATGTTCGACTTAAAGCCATGCGTTTTCCTATATTTCTATATTTGTATTAACATAGTGTTTGCTGCATGTTTTGTTATTTCATATTATGGTGCTTTTTGGTATCACCATTGAATTTCTTATTTAAAACTCTTCCAAAGCTTTCGATAGGAAGTTCTCGATCTTCCAAGGCTCTTGAAGGATGCTCTCAAGGATATTTTTTTTAAAGGTGCGAAATAGAGCGCCTAGAGTTTCTAAGGGGCTCTTTTTATGGTGCACCTTCATTTTGCTTAGAGCAAGGCCTGCAGCAGTATGTGATTGAAAGACCAAAGTTACAATATATATTATATGGAACTGATATATTGATTGCTTTTTAAAGATGATCAAAGATTGTATGAAGAAGGTCATTGCTGTCAATCTCCATCAGACTGTCCAGGTATATAGGGCATTATCTTCAATCTCTGTTTCATGGAGAGTTTTTCTCATCACAAATTACCTTCTACTTTCGATTTGTTCAATTTTGAACCTATTTTAAGGCCAAGATTTTTTAGTTAAAGTGAAGGTAGACTTCATATGATGAGCTTTTGTATTATATCTGATTTTCAATTGATTTGATATTAAATAAAAACAAACTTAAAGTGCCTATTTAAATGCGAAGCCCTTTGTAAGGAAAATCTTATCACTTCTCTTGAAAGTTGAGAAGACCTGGTGAAAATTGTTTGATTGCAAAATGTTTTCACCGATCTTTGAAAGCTGCTTTCAGCACAGAAAGATTTATTGGCAATAGTTATTCGAGTTTCATATATATATATATTGTTATTGGTTTAGGTAGATGACGATTTGGAAATTAAGGCATACTACGCTGGCCATGTCTTGGGTGCATCAATGTTCCAAGTTAAAGTGGGACAACAGTCATTTGTTTATACGGTTTGTTGCTTGTCTTTTGTACATCTCATTGTTTTTTAGTTTGCCAAGCATAGTTATTTTCACACACTTAGTTGAAGCGAATGCAAACTGTTTTCTTATTTGCTAATGGCACACAAGATGCTTAGTAAATACTTTCCTTGCAATAATCAACTATTTTCTAGCGAATCATCAAACAATTATTCACGATTGATTGTTAATAACGTCTTTCTTGCTCATCATTTGCCATTGCCCCTAGATTGCCATTTTCCATATTGGTGTTGGATCTTATATGAAACTTCATTAGAGCAGTGGTGAATCTAGCTTTGAAAATCTTGGGGGGGGGGGGCTAGCCGGGGGCCAAACTTAAAGTTATAGGGGCCAACGCTAGCCATTACTTTGCGAACTAGTAGAATGTAAAGCAGTGGCATGGTGGCTCAATATTAGCTACAAGGCGCCCCCTAGATAAGTGTGTCCTTGGTACAGCTCTACAAGGCTGTTATCATTATGCCAAATAGTTTTATTTGTGGTGTAAGGAGCAGCTGTGTTCCCTAGGAAAAATAACAAAGAAAAATTGTTGCTAAGAGCCTCTAAAGGTGCGGGACCATTTGCTATTAAACTGAAGGTGACTTTGGGCCGTTACTCCACTGAGTTTTATCTATTTAACAATAATGCATCATGAATCTTAGAATTTCAACAAAAGAAATGTACTTCTAAGAAAATGGCTAATAGCTTTGTGAGGTTGATTGTTAAAATTTTCCCATAGTTGTTATGTTATATATCCGACCTCCATGAGATCATTCTGATAAACAAAATTTCAAATAATAAAATTTCGATAAGCAATAGTAGATTGTCAAGGTATACTTGGATGGTATTGGTATTTCTCTGCGCTTGGTTCCAGAGCGAAAAGGGTTTTTGATGGGATGCGGAGAATCTTGGTTTGGGCTTGCCCTGAGCACGCCACCCCAAGAAGGTGTATCTTCGTGACAATATATAACCAATATAGAATTTTAACGATTTTCAAGAAAGATTTTTTCTTGGTACCTAAAGGAAGGAGCCAAAATTTCATTAATTTTCACCTCGGTTACAAACTAAAACACTTATCAGGGCCCCTAGCTTGTAAAATAAATGTAATAAAAGATCGCGTGAGCAAAATAAATAAAACACCTCAAACAAAGTCAAAAACGATTGAACAGCTTTCGAGAAAAACATTGAATTTTCAATAAAGAATTTTGAAAAAACTAGGGAGGGGCCAAACAAGGGGCAAAAAAAATCCCCCCCCCTCCGTAGAAACGCCACTGCATAAGAGAGACAACCCTGCTTCTGCCCTCGTACTCTTAGAGTTAATTCAAATGCCTTTTCACTCAAAGGATTTTAACATTCACAACTCTATCTTTTTTGCAGGGAGACTACAACATGACGCCTGACAGGCATCTGGGGTTGGTTTTACATTGGCTCAAAAGATCTCAAACTTTTTTTTACATTATACTTGATACATTTATGTTTCATTTTTTCTGTGTTTTGCCCTTTTTGTAGCGGGTAAAGTAAATAGAGAATGTTTTTAAACGGAACTGAACATGTAAATACTTCCCAATGGTTACGACTTTAATCACAGAGCGATTTATTCATCCATTTATCATGTTTTGTCTGTATCTCTCAGTTGGTAAGCTCTTCCAACATTAATTTGTTACTTCCGAGCTTTTTAAAAAGTATACCAAATTTTTCGAAATTTCAAAGATTTGAAAAAGGTTCACGATTGCAAGTTAGGTAGTTCAAAAGTCACCTTAAATTCCATGTTTGAAACCATCGTTGTTACTTTCAACTATGCGTTAAATTACCTTTCTAATCAAAATTCTATTATTGTCCCAAGCGTTAAATAGGGAATACACCGTCCGGAGTATGAAAAAGGTTTATGGGGATATTATGAGATGATGGGCCAGATGTCTGTTAAAGGAGAGTTCTTAAAGTAGGTTCATAAGCCATAGCCATATGAACGTTTGGTCAATTGGATGACATTAGTAATAACACAATGCTTTCTATTTAGGGCTGCCTGGATCGATAAGTGCAGACCGGATTTGCTGATAACTGAATCAACGTACGCAACTACCATCAGAGATTCGAAAAGGTAGAGCTTTTGTTGTAGCTTAAGTGAATAAACGAGAAATTATGAATGACAGTCTTCGTATTGTTTTAGCTGTTAGTGTCAGCACGTCAGTTTTCATATTAATAATACTCTTTATTGATTTGGATGTCCTATATGGTTTTATTGAGGATTCTTGTCAAATGAAATTCGATTTTGTTTGTTCTTTAGGAAAGCCAGTTATATTGTATTGCTTATGATTTTTTTGCTTCTATTCAATTGATTTACTTGCTTCTATTGATGTAAATAGTTTCCTTTTTCTCTGTATGCTTTACTTGAAGCTCGAGCTTGGATACTTAGCCAAGCAGAAGAAAATAGGCCCTAGGGACCAATTCCTCTCCCTGCTATTTGCGCACTATGATCATTAACATTTTTTCACAGGTGTCGTGAAATGGATTTTTTGAAAAAAGTTCATGAAACTGTAGAAAAGGGAGGAAAGGTAGTTAATCTTAGAATTTCTTAAGAAAAGAACATCTCATCAATGCTTCTATTTTTAGGAAGTCATCCAGATGACGTTTTCAAGTTACAGTATACTCTCGTTAAGTGGGACACATGGACCGAGCAAAAGTATACTTACTTAGCGGGCGTCCTACTTATCCGAATCTCCTCTTAAGCAGGATTTTCTTCGAAAGGCTAAATTTGTCCCATTTATCGAAATCTTTTTTAAAACTTACAGGGTCTAATTAAATCATTAAAAAGAAACGGTGATATTTGTGTTTAAAACTTTTCTATATTTTCTTTAACAACATACGACTATAAATTCTTCATCGAGCAGAGAAAAAGTCAAGTCACCTTTCTTTGCTTACTGTTAGCAATTACTTCAGTTTCTACAATTCTAGAAACCTTGATCATAAGCGCTTTCAGTTCAGTAGTATCGATCATCATGGAGTAGTTAGTTCATCAAGGTATCAATGGCATCGAGTAATTGAGATGTAGTTGGTTTCTCTTAAGCATGAACTGTATCTTGATCATCGTCTTCCTCTTCTCGAATTTCCTCGGCATCCTTTCTAAGAATATCCTACAAGATTTGTTCATCAGACAACAAAGCTTGAGTTACAGAAAGTGTGTCATCGAAAGAGGCGACATCTTCAGCAGACAAATCTTTGACATTTTATCCATTCTACTAAGTTGACGGAGACTATCTTTTAGTGCATGGAACGGATCGTCGGATGCTTACGTGTTGTCATCAATCTCAGTGAAGCCTGCTTTCTTGAAACAGTTTTGAACGGTTTTCTCTGTAACCTCATCCCAGAATGACACCAGCATCTTCATTGCATCCAACAGAGAAATTTGAGGGAGGAGCTCCTTTTTGTTATCGACTGCATCAATCATTATTTCGATCGCTTTCACTCTGTACTTTCCTTTCAAAGAACGGATCACTCCTTGTTCTATCGGCTGAAGGGTGGAGGTGTTGTTAAGAGGAAGGAAAAAGATCAATTGCTTTTAACCCTCGATTTCTGGATGAGCTGTCCAGTTGTCAATGATGACGGCGATGTTCCGATTATCCTTCTCCTTTTTTTCGTCAAGCTCCTTGACCCATTCTTCAATTAGAGTGATGCGTCCATCCAGCTCTTCTTTTGGCCACGATAACGACATGGCTTTACTAGCTATTGGTAAAGGTGGATTTCCTCTTCACGGTATGGACGGGAAACGGAAAACGGTATACGGTACAAGCATGCGCAGAAGGTATTTTGACATTCAAGAACGGTACTTTTTCCTTGGAATTCGCACCGTTTGGCCTCTCAACCAATCATGTTCAAGGCATTGCGTCGTAACTTCAGCAACAAGCTGTGCTTCGAACTGAGTCGCAGTCATGCTGAAATACTTGAAATAGTATAACCTATCATCGGTGGAAGCAGGCAGAGTTGTAGAGCCCACCTTGCAAATGCTAATAATGAACCCTTTTCTACTTTCTGCTATCATTTTTGAAAAGTTTTTCGAGAAACCCCCTCTTGTAATTTTCCTGTTTAGGAGCAACAGATGAAAGACTTTTCAATGTGTTTAAGTATGTTATACTTTTCCGTTATCGGGGTCGATGCACACTTCCTTTTTTGGCCCAGCTAAGACGCCATGACCACACACGTGAAAAGACCTTAACGAATATTTACATTTATAAAACTTTGCTTACAGTGCAATGTCTTCCGTCTCGATAAAAAATATGAAGTCATTGCATAGAAAGTCCCACTTAAGTGAGTTTGTGCTTCAAGGGACCAGGAAAAAGTGTACTACTTAGTGGGCGTCCTACTTATCCGGGGTCCCACTTAACGAGAGTATACTGTAGCTTTATTCCAACTTGGTCAGTGAGCATACATACTAACTAAAGCTCCCTATGTGTAGTGCATGAAAATCAAAAACCTTGCCAGGGATGTCTATTATCATGTTTGCCATCCTTAAGTTAAAGTAAGATGTCCAAAAAACTGCATCTTATATGAAGGTACTTAATGTTGCCAGAAACAATTGTTTTGAGCATGATTTGAAAAAATGCATGCATTGGTAGCCACCATTTGATATTTTTAGCGGCTAGATAAGCACATTGTTGCTTCATAACATCATATATAAAGTAATTGTTCGCCAAAACGTATTGTAACGACAATTTGAATATCGTCGGGCAGGCAAGGTCGTCTTTTCATTTAGGTGTTTTTGAATCTGTTTACATCAAAACAATGTGTAGACAGCCGGTCTTTAACTAGGTAAGAGAATAGCGGCTGCTATTGTTAAAAAAGAGCCAATTCCAATGTGCTATTCTTCCTCCCACGTTACTTTCGATCCACACTTGAAATGCATTTTCTGCTTACCTTTGGACATTTTCCGAAGTTTATACTCTGATGAGTGTCGATAAAAAAGTACTTTAGTATGACATGTTTCCACTCTTCTGTTCTGTATTCAAATAAAGTAATTATGCTGCTCAGATTTCTGCTTGCTTTTTTAAAATATGATTTAAGTAAATTCCCTAATGTCGTTTTGCACCTCTCGTTTTCTGTTGCATTAATAAGCTGGTAGAATGTACCACTGGTGAAGTGCTCTGTTCTCTGTTCAGCTTATTTATTTTTTATGAGTAGCTCGAATGTGTTAATGGGCTCATTTTACAGTCAGTAACAGTATCTGGTAAAACCAATCTGTTTAAAATGTCTTTTCTTTCCCCGTTCACAAGTGATAGCTACTTTTCCTTTTAAAAGGTGCTAATTCCAGTGTTTGCTCTTGGGAGAGCACAAGAGCTTTGCATCCTTCTTGAAACCTTTTGGTACGTCAAAATTTCTTATAGCCAAATCTTTTTGTATATGCAGAATGCTTGGTCTGCTTCTAATGGATAGTACCTAAACCATGTTAATTTGGAGCTATGTTGTCTGTTTTAGCACATCGCGAACATTTTGATAATCCTTGCCTTTGTTGTTACAATCAAATCACAATTGTCCCAATTATATTATCACAATTGCCACAACATCTTTGATCTTCTAATGACAATTTTAAACGCCATCGTGTATATATATGAAATTAAAGCTTGTTAATCTCCTGATACAACCAGGGACCGCATGAATCTGAAGGCTCCTATTTACTTCTCAACTGGACTCACAGAAAAGGTAATTTGTTGATTTATGCCATACTTGTGGTTATTCGAATTGTTGTGAACGAAATTCTCTCAACACATATACACACCAGAATATTTTTAGGGAATCTCCTCACGAGTTATACTCGCAAAACTGCATTTTCCTCAAGTGATCCTGACAAATATGCCTCGTTTTGTTTTTCCTCCTCTCTCAAAATCTAAAATGTATTTTGTTTCGGAATCGACCAGGCTAACCACTACTACAAGCTTTTCATTACGTGGACCAATCAAAAGATCAGAAGTACTTTTGTTCAGAGAAACATGTTTGAATTCAAGCACATCAAGGTATGCAGAGCAGTAATATTTTTTCCGTTTCTCTCCACGTTTCAAGCCCTTATTTGTACTCACTGCTTCTTAGAAATTTGTAACTCTTTGTTTTATCACGACAGGAAAAATATCAGGAGCTTCATTTCTATCAATTCATTGTTTCATTTCGAACGGTTTATTTCTAGCTTTTTTATTTATACCTTGATTTTTCTTTTTACGTTGAAAGCTGATTGTTTGGTATTTCATTTTTATTTTACTTTTAATGGAGATGAGAGCACAATTTTCTTCTACTGCTTCTATTAGTTTCTCATTTATCCTCTCCTTTTGATCACATATCACCATCATAGCGTTGTAATATTGTCCTTCTGATTTTGATTTCTGTTTCTTTGATTTCTGTCCTTTGTTTCTTCTGCTTTTCTCATTCTTGATTTGTTCATTTTGCAGCCATTTGATCGGTCGTACATAGAAAACCCTGGGCCGATGGTTGTTTTTGCGACCCCTGGAATGTTACATGCTGGACTTTCGTTGCAAGTTTTTAAGAAATGGGCTCCCGATGAGAACAACACTGTAAGTATGCATTAATCACCTCATTGTTTATCGCATTCTATCTCTGCAATGTTTAGTCTCCTATAATCTTAAGTTTTAAGTAGATAGAATAGACATCAAATATCTATCGCAGCAATTTTTAAGTCGCCAGTAGAAAGATTGCGCACGCAGGAGTCTTGTATTTCAGCCATAAAAGACCATTTTATGCTGTTTTTCTATACAAAAGTAATAACATGATTTTATAACTTAACTTGTAAATTTAAATTTAGTTTTGTTTCATGCCCATTTAAGGCATCTGTACCAATGTTTGCACCGGTGTAAGTTTTGGCTATATCTTTGCCTATTTAAGTATCTTCTTGCATCCTGTCTGGTTATACACAAAAATAGTTTACAATTTACAGTTTACAGTTTACAAACTGCAAAATTTTAACCGAAAAAGCATGCAATGCAAAGAAAAAATTGTTCACCAATTACTCGTCATAACCATTGATATCACGAGTTTCTGATAGTTTATTTCCTCATCAGGTAATAATGCCAGGTTATTGCGTTGCTGGTACTGTTGGTCATAAAATTCTCTCGGGACAGAGAAAGATCGAACTGGATAAAAAAACCACTGTATGTTTCTCTACTTCATCTTGTATCTCTACAAAAGAGAGGAAAATCTAAATTATATCTTAGATGCATGCTATGTCTTGCCTAATCGATGGCTACTTTTTTATATGAATACTATAGAGTTTTTCCAGCCTTGATGTTCTTAGGAAATTTTCGTTTTGAGCCTCGATATATCCTTAAAGTATTCTGACTTCTATCAAATCTGATATTTTTTCGGGAGAATATCGTTCATCCTCGTATAAAAACCTCGCTTTAACTTTTTAAGTGAAAATCGTCAGGAAATGGGTTCGATGGCTTCCTTTTAAAACTGTCCATGACGTGGCGATATTTGAAGCAAAGTTTTATTTCACATAATGTATAACGTTTTCATATAAGATATCCTGGTACAAATCTTTTCTGTAGACCAAGTTGTTTTTTTATGAATCCGATTTTCAGATCGTTTTTCTAGCCAAGGGGCTTCAAATTAAAAATCTAAATGATATCCAGCGTTTACTATTACACATAATTTCCTCATGACGAACTCCTGTCCATTTTTTAAGTTATCTGAACGGTTGTGTGAAAGAATTTATTATTAAGCGTCCTACTATTTTAGCTTTCTGTTTCTATTTTCTTTAAACCACTTTCTCGCTAGCTAATTGGACCTGCAGAGAAAAGCCAGTTTTCTTTTCTACTTAAGGTCACCAATGTCTTCATTTGTGATAAACAAAAAATTGACCTTACTTTGGCTTATTATGAAATTCATAACAACTTCACATTGATTATGGTTTTAAGTATTATTTAAAACGTCATCTAGTTTTCATCATTTTCGATATCGATTCACCAGTTCCTGTTTTTATTACATCTTTTACTGCTACATTCGTTTTCTATCATTTTGCAGACCTCTCTTGTTTGTACACATTCGTTAATCCTTGTCTGGATGCATCTTTTTTATTTTGCTTTCTTGTCTGCATTTTATATTTTATCCCTACACCATGCATCGAGATATTGTCATACCATTGGTCATCTTTTCTTCTTTTTTAGATTGACGTTAAATTGTCTGTGCAGCATCTTTCCTTTAGGTGAGATGTTTACGTCATGTGGTTCATGCATGCTGTTGTTCAAATACCTATGAAATTATGTCATCATGCCTTGTTGTATAGATTATAAAAGGAAGGCACAAATTTCTGATTTTTCTTCGTTGATGGGGTGACTTGGTCTACTTGATATTTCATCCATCACTCTTTTGGGTTTTGCCCTAATTAACTAGGTCTTGCGAAGAGCTTTACGCAACATTACTTTTCATTTTTTCACGAGCAGGACATCCCTTTTGGTTTGAAACCAAGAAAATATTATTCGGATTGATTTTTTCTTACACACTTCTAGATCAGCGGTTATCAAAATCTTCATTATTTTTCACCATCTATTCTAGTTTTACCCTTCTAGTAAGCCTGTTTTTCTCGCCCCTGATGTTTCTTTTTGGAATATTTCGAATTTTGAGATTTGAACAATATTTCCCTTGAGGGGTGATACAAATATGTTCACGCAGGCATAAAAGGGGTATTTCAAGCTAAGAAACTGCTTAAGGTATTCTATTGTGATGACTTTTCACACTGCTGTACGAATTTGGGTGTTAGTTTGACGTCTATATTAGAACCGTAGAGATGTTCTTCGTATAAAGGTTGCTTCTGCCTACATATTTGTATTCAGATCTATATTGTTGTCTTTCCCTGCATCTTTTTCTGATTTCTACACAGGCCAATCTCTTTCTACTCTCTTTCTGCCATATTGCGATTCCCAATAATACATTATGTTGGTTGGTAGCTCTTGATAACTAGATTTTCATAAAGCCCACCATTGATCAGCTTCTCATCTTAGGCACGTTGGCCCTTCTCCCCCATTCCTGCATTAAGTACATCATGGATTCACACATTGTCTTTTTATCAGGGTTGTAACTAGGCAGGTATGCTAGCGTATACAGATTTGTGTTTATAATGTAGCCAGAACTTGAGATGGAGAGCTGTTTTAAACATTCATGTGTACCAACCGAAATACAATCTTCCCAATTTTTTTATTTGCCTTAGAGCCACAAGCAAAACTGATCCTACAATTTTTCATTTAATTTTAGCGCCCACGCAGACGCATCTGGCATAATGCAACTCATAAGACAGGTATGTTGCTCAATTGTGGTCAGAAATGCCAGAAGAGAGCCGTTGTTAGCCCCAATCCTCTGTCTGGTTTTTTGAATTGGTTTTTGTTGCGACAAGGGTGATGTGACATGGCTTTTCTGTTGCCACTCCTGTGGCTTTACATCATCCCATTTTGTATTTACTTTGAAAGAAGTAGTTTGCAATCAAAGTAAAGTGTAGCTGAACCGTGTTGATAAAAACTATTCTGGGCTATCACCTCAGATATTCATGAAAGCATTAACTAAATTTTCATGCTTTAGATTTCAGCAGAGTGTTTAAAAGAGGATTTGATAATTGCTTGTTCTGTTTGCCTTTCTTTTGCATCCATGCTACCAACTTGCTCGTTCGTCTTCAGAGACCGATATGTTATTAAGCGTTAAAATTATGAGAAAACATTATATTTAATATTTCATGGATTTAATGTGAAAAACACATCTGCGATTTTTCCAAATTTCGCTGCTAACTTTAATGTATCTTTCGTTAATTCAAAAGCAATTTTAAGCAGAACCTCTTCCTTTCCTGCAAATTATTGCAACTGCTTATCCTGCCTCAATATTTACTATGGTTTATTGCAGTGCGAGCCTGCTAATGTAATGTTAGTTCACGGTGAAGCAAGCAAGATGGAGTTCCTAAAACAAAAAATCCAACAAGAGTTCAGTAGGTTTCGTTTCTATTCAGCCTTTTAAAAGTAAATTACATCTCCTTTAGATAATGCTACTTTGGCAAATGGTAAAAAAATTCATTTATATTCTGAAAGATGTATAAAACATATTGGAAGAGTACGCACGCAGCATTCCAAATCTATTTCAACTGTTCTCTCTTCTTATGTTAACAATGCGCTGTCACGAATGAGTATCCTTCTTCCATCAAAAGAGAGATTTATAGTGGAGCGGAATACGCTTACAATGCCTAAATCATGATAAATTTAGAATTTAGAATGATGGAAAGCCATTAAATGCAAATTTGTTTTCATTGTTAATTATTTCAATATAATTGTTTGAAAATTAATGTGGGATAATGGTGTTTTACGTTTTTTTTCAAGGGCAATATCGTTTCTTTAAGCCTGGTTTTCATATATCGTAATTCGTCGGCGATGATCCCCGACGCAGCTTCCCGATGGTCTATGACAGTCTGCAATGGTTTATGACATATAAAAACCGGGTCATCGGGAACCATCGGCGATCATCCCCGATCATCGCAAAAGTCAAAATAATTTGACTTTCCCGACACTTCTCGATGAACAATAGCAAAGAGAACAATAGATCAGGAATGTTCTGTCAAAATGTCAAAAGTGAATTCATTTGAACTGAAGGGAGGGTAACTGTTTCGCGGAAAAACTGGAATGCTTTTGATAGTACAGGGAACATTAAGGGGGCTATAATTCCTAGTTTGATTCCTAGTCTTAAGTTTGAGTTTCATCATTTTTTTAAGGTGAATCAAGGTGAATCTTAAGCTATGTCATGATCATTACATAATCCACTAAACAGAAATTTTGCCAAGAAAATTTATACTGGAATTTGCCTTTCCTTTTTTATCTTCATTGTAACAATGACTTCTTCTGGAGCAATATTTTTCTGACGGGTGCGCGGGGAAAGTTTCTTACTTTGTTGTAATGAATTTTCATTTGCAAATATATCCCGAAATTATCAATGTGTTGCTCATAAACGTCAATGTGTTGATCATAGATCGATGATAGTATCAAAATTTGACTATTGGCCTTTATCAGCAGCCATATTCCTAAACTTGCATCAAAATTATAGTTTTGGCGCTTCAATATTGTTTATAGCATCGGGAATCGTCCCCGACCATCAGGGATGCTGTGCATCGGGGATCATCGCCGACAGGTTACGATATATGAAAACCAGGCTTTAACATCCAAGCAGCCCTTCTTATATTGGCTTTTGTCAATGGTCTGACCCAAGAAAGGGCTCGCTCCTACTGATTAATCGGCATTTCTATGTTCAAACCCTGCACTCAATGAATTCTCTTTCGGGAATTTAAAAAGGCATTACTCTTTCATTTTAGACATTGAATGCTACATGCCCGCAAACGGCGAAACAGCTTCCATTCCTGTGGAAACGAAGATAAACATCGAAGTTTCAAAATCATTGCTTGCAAAGAGAAAGATGGCGGATTCAGAAGGTTACCTTAAAATGTCGGACTTCTTTTGATGCCATTTACATCGGTGCTATTATTGTTCATTTTAATGTTGGGTTTGATTGCATTTAAGGAATGTAGATCTCTTCTTGTGTAATGTTATTCTTTAAAACGCAGAGTTTTTTTATTTTCCTCTGTTTAACGATAAAGAATCAAACAAGTTCAAAGGCAATCGATAGATACTTAAATGGCTGAAGTCATCTGCCAATCAATATCAGCCAGTGACAAGCGTGTGAGTGTTATCATGCTCACTGATTTGCCCATTGGTGTTGACAGAAGGTTTTGGCGGGCCTCTTTATTATCTTTCGATCGCCTTTAAACGATAGCGATTATTTTACTTGCAAGACTCACGGTCCCTATGCTCCACGGTCGTTTATCTCTCGGGAAGCCCCACGGTTGACACTCCCCACAACCACTATCTTGCCTTAATGGGTTGGCATTGCGCATTTTTTGTGTGCAAACCAATTTGCCCTATTGGTGTTTGGCATTTCTTAGCTAAGTCTGTTAAGGGGTTGTCGATGAAAATTCTAATTCACGAAGCATGATTTGACGATTTTTTCAGAGCACCAGTCGAAGAGGAAAAACTTGGTAAAGAGGAATACGGAAGCAGACCTTAGTGGCATTCTCGTTATGAGAGAAGGGGTAACATTTGAACATTTTTGTTTATTGAAGTAAAATCTTTGACGCGCCAAAGGCAGTCACCCAGTTGGACTTTTTGTAACTTTGTATGATTTTTGAAGTTAGAGTTCTGAGAATTGGATCAACTATTTCACTCTTTCATTTGGTGAGTGCATTAAGCTTTCAGTTCACTAAAATCAGCACTTAGAATATGTTTGCCTTGGCAAGTTTTTAAGCTACTGGTTTCTTCCCGACATAATTGATTCCTTTTCTCTGTTACAGAGCTTGCAATTGGTTGAGACAGAGAAAGTAATGAAAGAATTTGCTTTAAAAGAGCATCAGCTGAGGTTTACGTCAACAGTTTCGTTAGATTCTTGCGAAAATCCTGAAGCTTTTTTCAGCAAAATGAGAAAAGACTTGGAAGAGTAAGTTCAGCCCACTCAATATGTTATTGATTCTTACGTCCATGTTGCTTTTACATCCTTGCGGGTTTAAGGATTCTTTTAGAGTTACCAGGCTGTTATGCCATTCATGAACCATAGAGTAATTGTAGATATTTTAGCTGCCCATAAAATTTACTTTTACGCTTGTCTCTAAAGATGGGTTCTCTCGGCTTTACGTATCAACATTACCCTATTTCCTTTCTAACCTGCTTTCTCACGAATTGATTGGTTTTTTAATTAGGAATTTCAATGAATGCAGTATTGACAAGCTAGGATCACATTCCCTGGCTTTAGACTCAGTTCTTATCAAGGTAAGTCTATTTTATATCGAATCTAGACTCCATTTTATCGTGGATTCAAAGAGTTTTAAAACACTTTTGTCTGCCGATGCTTGCCGCTGTTAGCAGCTTTTTCGCGGCTCTTGTAACTAATTTCTTACAGCTAACAAATTTCAGCATTCATAAATGTTTTAAAATAGACGTGCAAAACAGTGTTAAAGGTGCATTTACGTGTTTTACGGATGGGTTAACTGCAAAATTAAATCTAAAAACCTCAAGGTAACCCAGTAAATCTGATGAGTATTGTCGCACATAGAACGAAGCTGCTTAGGAAAATGAATTTTTGGAATTTTTACAAATACATAGGAAAATTGGCTGTTTTTTGTGCTTGCTCGTTTTCTAATTTCATCTGACCAATAAAATTTTACCTAGTTCCTGTTATCGAAGAGCTCCAAAGACAGAAGCAGTATACTTGTATCATGGCAGTTTCAGGTAGCTTTTTCAATTTCTGTTCATATACAAAATTAAATTTGCATGACCGCTTTAACATAATCATAAGAAAATAACACTAAATGCACTGTTTAAACGGTCGGTACTTTATTAATTAAATCCGACAATTTCACGGAGTTTCTCCAACTTCAATTTGCTAATCTATCGCCACGATTTTGTTACTTTTGCTTGTACCAAAGATTTCTTTGAATAAACTTGAAACATCTCAACAATGGTGTTTTCATTAAAGCAACTGCGTGATTTTATAGTTGACAGTTGAAGTTAAACTTTTTACATTATCCCTGAAACCTACTTAGTTTTATTTGCAATGAAACTTAATTGGGGTATTTTCTTCAGGATGAAGATCTTGGGAGCAAAGTACTGAATTTTCTCAGATCTCAGGCTCAAGAATTTGGATGAACTGCAAAAAGATCTTGGGCATATGAACTTGCGGAAGAGGTTTGCTCCATCGGCAACCCGTAAAATTCGAGTTGATGCAATGAAATGCTTGCGCCTAAAAATATCTGCAGAATACAATCCATATGAGAGCTTTATTGCTGACTCCGTTTGAGAGTGGTGCAATGCTGACTCAATTGAAGATGTTTTAGACAGTTTTTTTGACACATTTTTACACATCAATCGACTGCCATTCTCTTACATCTTTGTAGTATATATCTTTTCAGAGAGCATATATTCGAGATGACAGATAGTAAGCATATTGTTACCGTAACACTTTCAATGGAAATCGATTGCTGCATCAATACTTTGGAGTTCTTGGTGTTTAAGAATACATTAGGCAATTGTAAGAATACCTATAATATACCTCTATTAGATGAAATATTAGAATTTTGATGATTATATCCATAGAGGGTATTGAATACAATCTCGAACAATTCCAAAAGTTATTTTTTCCCAAAGAGCTTTTGAAGAAAAAATTCCAAATAAACAGCCACTGAATTACCTTCTCACTTTAATTTATGAAAAGTTTTGGCATGAAGTTGGCCTCAATTTCAGCCATTTTATTTTGCAACTAGGTCTTCAAGAATATATTATAATCAGGTTACTCTATTTTCCAGATAATGTATATTACGACCAACAAAAGCGCAAGAAAGGAATGTAATTCACTAGTAAAAGCTCTTTGATAAAGTTTGTATCAAACGTACGAATCTTGTATCTTTGAGAGGTTCTGTCACAGCAAAAAATGATGATGGAGCTTGAAGCCTTTTGCTTGGCTTGTCAATAATAGGAGACAGTCCTTTCGACTGTAAGTTTGTTTTAGTGGCCATGTAGGATCCAGATGTGTTATTTACTCTACGAATGCTGCGTATTTTTGCTTGAGCTTGAATTTGACTTATTTGTGTTCGTCTCTGTAATGCATCTTTTTCGTGTTTCTTCATCATTTCCAAGGTGTTTGCAAAATTCTCTCCAATTGATGGCAAAACTGTGTATTGTTGGAATTGTCGTCCACGATGTTTGTCCATTGCAGTAGCCATAGGTTTGCGTATGATCAGGGCTTGAGTAACTGTGTTTGCAGAATTGCAGGGAATAGTATCTCCCTTTAAAGCAGCTACCACTCGCCCCGATGAGCCTTTCATATGAGGGGCATCAAGGCTGTTGTCAATATGAAGTTCACTAGTTGGATTTCTGTATTCATTTCGCAATATGCTAGAGCATTTATTGTCTTTTGATAAAAGCACATTCAATTGCTGTTCTTTGCCTTGTTCGACCGGCCTTTCATTGCACAAATTACGCTTTGTCGAATTATATTCTGCTCGCTGTTCGTTGCTTGCTTCCACTGAGCTTTCAATCGGACTTGCAGATAACAAGCGCCTCTTTTTATTCCTGACATATTTCGGATGCTCTAACTCTCTTGGCATATAGTTGATTGTTTTCAAATTCTCCAAGGATTGGTTTTTTCTTGACAGTTGAGGTCTCGATGTAACGGCAGCTGCATGTGAGTCAGATATCTTGACAGCACAGCCCCTATTTAACACTTCCCTTGATAAAGTTCTTTCAACTCGTTTCTTTTGTTCCGCCATGTCTTTACTTACGTGATTAAGTAAGGAGGGGGGGTGGAGGTTTTAGATCCACTTTTCACTCAACCTTTTTTGACTTTTGATAAGTTGCTGTTAGTTCTCAATGAAGACTTATTTTTCATTATTTGTGTTCTCCAGAGAGCTGATCCTGTTTTCTAACGATTGGTGACAATATTTAAAAAATATATACTGATACCTGTACAGCAGCCTCCCTGTACGCCTGTCTCTCAAGCTCCTTGATGTATGGAGTTACAATTCTTTACTGGCGATGGAAAAAATTTTCAATGCGAATTTTCTAGAGCTTCTTGCGTTCGCGTTGCATTTGATCGCACAATAGGCATAAATCAACATGTCCAGTTAAAGATAAGATGGTATTATTTCTTACACTTGCCTCTCTGGAAACGCCAGTTATCACACAACGAGAAAGCTGCTTTTCACTATCTCAGCAATTATTTTAGTTCTCTTGTGGTATATTTCTATACAACCGCATACTCTACTATGTTTACAACTGTGAAGTGCTTTCTCAAATAATTTCGGTTGTTTAACGTGATGTGAAGACTCATAGCAACTGCGTGATTCTTTCTTAATCAGCAGAATCCTTTCTCCCATTCGAATGGCACAATGCTTTTCACAATTGACTCAAAATCGTCATTATTCGGTCTCTGTTTCTTCATCGAGCACACCATTCAATCATAAATCGCTTTCAATTTTCTTATTCTGTCTATTTTCAGTCATTCCTTGCGAGGGCAAACAATATCATTGGGTTTGGAAAGCTCGATATGAAAGCGCTAAGGATCTCGTATTGAAACGGTAGGGCCAATAGTTTCGAGTAGCCAACTCGCCCCTTGTGGCGTACTAAACCCGAATCTTCAAAACTTTTAATCCGCTTTACATAACGATACAGCAGTTATAGGCTTTTCTGCAATATAATGTGTTTTGTTCAAGCGATTCTTTATTAATATTTTTGCCACAAGCTTCGAGAAACTTACCAGTCTGGTTTCAATCTAACGGGGTCATTTCCAGAAATAATCATCTACTATATGTTTTCTAAAAATTGCATTTCGTCAAAAACAGTGCAGATCAGAAATTCTGTGTCTACATTTTCAGTCGCGTTTGTATTTTCTGTCGCGTTCGCGTTTTCGGTCTCGAGTTTTTGTTTTTAGTCATGTGTTTGCGATTTTTTAGTCTTTCCCGAAGTCTATTTTTTGTTAAATCCGTAAGACATTCGTACGACTGCGAGGGCATATCTAAACTGCGGTCCTCCGTAGTAACATATGCCCTCGCGAATCTTCTATCAGGATCTTCTATCAGTGAAAAATAACACTGTTATCGCTAGAGCCCTGTTATTAAAGTTAAATGAAAAGTAAAAACTTACAAAACAATAAAACCATTAAAATCATTAAAAGTTTAGAGATTTTCACACCCCTTGCAATTTCCTCTAAAAATCTTGATAACCTATTGCAAAAATAGAAAAAAGTTCATACCCCATCTAGAGAATCAAATGGTAATGAAACTCAAGACAACAAAGGCAAAATTGGTCAAAGTTTGTGAGAACTCTTTATGCAGTAAGGATGGACATTGGACCAATGTTTGCAAGTTTGTGTGAAGCATAAATCACATTTAAATCCTCAGACATTGGTGCTGTCAATACGCCAAAAGAATTTTAAAGACAGCCACAGCAAAAAGCTTCAGTTTTTCTGAAAGTGGTAAAAAAATGAGAACAAAGCTATTTCAGGACAATAAAGTGCTGCCAGTGAAGGCAAAATAAGTCGATGATTTAATCCTGTCATGAATAAACTTGCTAGCCTTGCAGGTGAACTAATTTTAAAGCTAAAGAGTACTTCTTTCCCTTGTGATGGAAAAGAAAAGTTGAAGGAAGAGAACAAAACCATATGCTGCCAATTCAGAGCAAGAGAAGAAACAGAGGCTTCTAAAAAGTGCATGTGATTCTTTGCACATTATATGCCTTGCAGAAAATACCGGAATTTCTGACGACCGCCAAATCGTTCGCTTGATTCTTGATTAGTATAAAAACCATTCTAGTGTCCTAGCTATTATTCAAAGCCCAGAGCAAGTCCTGGCTACTTTCACTTTTCAAGAGATAGGCAGTCAAGAAATTGCAAAACTATTAAAACCCTTGGATGGCATGAAATCTACTGGTGAAGATCAAATTCCCCCGAATCTTGTATCCTTAACTGCGAATGAACTTACGAACACTTTAACTACGGCAATAAACTGTAGCATTCGAAATTTCCGTTTCCCAAACGATGCAAAAAAGCGGCAGTTTGCCCACTAGATAAAGGGGAATCAAATCGTACATTAGAAAGAAATTTCCGCCCATTTAGTGTTCTCAATACCTTTTCAAAGATATATAAAAAAATTTAAAAAAATCAATTGGCTCAACATTTAGATTTCCCGCTTTCAGTCTTCATTGCTGCGTATCGACAAACGTATGCAACCCAACATGTTTTGATACGTTTGATAGAAGACTGGAAGACTAGCAGGGGCGTAACTTGGCCAGTAGGTTTGGGGGGTGAAAAGGGTTTCTGCCTTGCAAAACTGAGTGATGCCCTGCAGACCTCGTAGCAAAGGTTTGTCTATACTCTATAGGTTACTAGTGAAAGCTTCTTCAGTGTACACTGGTCTTTACCAAGGACAAACTTCTAAGCAATAAAAACAAACTTGAAACTTCATTGCCTATGAAATATCTATTTCTCTACGTGAGCGTAAATTATATGTCAAATTTGATTTTCTTTGATAATAAAGCTTCTATCTCGTGGCATATGATTTTTTGGTGCAGTATATGAGCGAAGCAACGAAATTGAGCCCGGGGGGACTAAGAATCATGTTGTGTGATATAGGAGGACCCACCATGGCTGGGTCGGACGTGAAGAAAAATTTTGAAATTATACCTTGTAATAGGGCTAAAAAGCATCTTTCCGACTAAATTTTAGTAAAATACTATTGTGCTGAAAAACTGATTATTGTTCATTGGGAAAAATAGGGAGGGGCATGTCATGCTAAAACTCTAGTGATAGACGTTGGGGAAGAAAAGAAACGTCAACCTTTCGTTTCAGACTGTACATAGTTGTGAATGACAGAGGAAGATGTTGTTTTGATTGGGGTAATTTTATTTCCTGAACAGAAATGTGCAGTTTCTTGTCTTGAGAAGGCCATGTTTACACATCCATAATTAAAACATTGCAATGATACAGAAAATGATTTACTGAATTAATGCAAATAAAAGAAAAATAATAAAAATATACGTGAAAAAGTTAGTAATTAGATCAAACAAAATCGGCATCTTAATAGTTTATTCTCTTTTTATTTCATGCACTGTTAAAAAGTAATAGAAAAAATGATAGAAAATTCTTATCTTGAACAAAGTGGGGGCCCTCATCCCCTATTCCCCCCAGTGACGCCGTGCCTGTTATGAAAATAATTTACAACTTAAATTAACTTGTATGGACTCAACCTTGCCCTCATAAACATATGCATTAATCATTGCATCCATTGGCTGTGACTTTCGGTAAGACATGCTTTCGCTTTGCAAATAACGGAGCTTTTCCTCACATACCTGTTCCGTTCTCTAACATGTAATGTCAGGAAGGTAGGTTCATAACAAATATGATATTTACATTTCAAAATTCCTAAACAGCCCTTTACGAACTTCAGAGATGACATTTCTGCGTTGCAACAAAGCTCTTCT